CCCACAGTCCTTGGGATGTTCATATAGCAGCATTGCCCTCGGTGTCCCACCGTCCATCTGACCCCACAATACTCTGCAGCCAAGGAATACACTCACTTTTGCTTTTCCTCAATGCCCAGGTCCCACTGCTAGAGCCAGGGTGCTAAACACACATCCAGGGGCCACTGGGAGGGAAGAGGGGAGGTTTGCAATGGAACATCTCAAGCTCTGCCAGGGGAGGGTTAGGTTGGATGTTAGGAAGAGATTTTTTACAGAGAGAGTGATCAGGCATTGGAATGTGCTGCCCAGGGAGGTGGTGGATTCACCATCCCTGGAGGTTTTCAAGTTGAGACTGGATGTGGCACTTAGGGCCATGGTCTAGTAACCATGGTAGGTTTGGACTCAGTGATCTTGGAGGTCTCTTCCAACCAGGTTGGTCCTATGATTCTATGATCTTGTCTTCCCCAGCACTGCAGACAGCCCAGGAGAGGAGCACAGAGCACTGAGCAGTGCAGACAGCCCAGGGGAGAAGCACAGAGCAGTGCAGACAGCCCAGGGCAGGAGCTCTCATCATCCTGGCTGCTGCTTCAAAATAAGTGTATTACAGCAAACACCTTATCCTGGCCAAGGCTCCCAAGCAGCAGCTGCAAAACACAAAGGGTTTATCACCACTAAGGTTTTATCATGGAAAGATAATCACAAGCTACTTATATAGCCCAAGAAAGAGCTGACAACTGCCGAGGGAAATAAACTCACTCCTCCTCACACTGCAAACGTAACAACCAAGATTAAAGGCATCAAGAAATATGGACAGAGAGCTAGAAACATGTTTTTTATGTAGGGAGAATTCCTGCCCAAAGCCCTGAGGGATGTGAGCAGCTCTGTGAGGAGCAGAGGGATCCTGGCTCTGGGCTTGGAGGTGAGAGCAACCACCAGTTTGGAGATTGATAAATCACTACCCCACACATTCCTCTCCCAAACTCAGCTCAGCTCTCCTGGCACAGCATCATTTGTGTTAGAATTCCTGGTGAAGAAGGTAAACAATCTCACAGCTTTTTTCTTTGCTTTTCCCTACTACCTCCCCTGGGGCTAAACTTTGCTCTCAGCAGAGGACAAGTCCAGAATACTTAAAGAGAGCAGCAAAGTTGAGAGGGAAAAGTTGTTTTTTCTCTTCCTATCCTTCACTTTGGAGAACAACACACACAGCACTCCCCAGTCACGGTGCAGGTGACCCCTGGTGAGTGTGGTGGATCACACAGCATTGATGTAAGGGGCAACCCCTTCTTCTAATGGGAACATTCCAGGGTGGAGACTCCTAGGGCAACCAGAGTGCCAGGGCTGAGAGCAGTGTCTGCTGAGAGCCATGGAATCACAGTCATTGAGGCTGGAAAAGTCCCCTGAGACCACCAAGTCCAACCATTCCCCAGCACTGCCAAGGCCACCACTAACCCCAAGTGCCACATCCACAGGGCTGGTAAATCCCTGCAAGGATGGTGACTCTACCACCAAACATCCACATGTACTTCCTTCACCCATGACCCTTCCAGCAATTCGTGCCTATTGCTCTGCTCTGAGCTCTCCTCACCCTGAAAAGCCCCAGCAGGTTGTCCGGGGAAGAGGATTTCCCCAGTTCAGTAACATCACAGCCACTCTGGGTGTTTCTCAGAGCATGAGAGCAGCCTTTGTCTGCAATCAAACCATCCAGCTGCAATTTGTGAGAAGAACTGTGCAGAACTTCTAGACATATCAACATCCACTTGACTATTTTTGAATTATTAAATCAATATTTTATTCTTTTAGGAGGAAAAATAGAACATCTGAGGGGACAGCTCTTTCTAATACAAACAAAACATGGGCCTTGAAAGTCTCAGCCTCCTGTGCTCAATCAGAGCTTCTCAGATGGAGAAGGTCCTGATTAAAAATGCTCTTTAAAGTTCAATATATTCTTAAGGCACTGCTTGTTCCCAGCACAAACATTGCTCCCTCTGATGCCAGGGAAGAGCTGCTCTCTTCAAAGCAGGAAAAGGAGAGGTATATTAAAAGGGCTTTTTGTTTCATCAGATAAAGCTCTAGCTAAGAACAGTCTGAGTTGGATTGGGTTGGAAGGGACCTTAAATCTCATCTTTTCCACCCCCTGCCATGGGCAGGGACACCTCTCACAAGCCCAGGTGGATCCAAGCCCCATCCAACCTGGCCTGGAACACTCCCAGGGATGGAGCAGCCAGCCACAGCTGCTCTGGACAACCTAATGTGAAGACACTATTAATATAATAACCTCAAGGCAAGTAAATGTCTGGACACAGCCACAGCTGCTCTGGACAACCTAATGTGAAGACACTATTAATATAATAACCTCAAGGCAAGTAAATGTCTGGACATGAGAAAAGGCTGAGAGAGTTGGGATTGTTCAGCTTGGAGAAGAGACCAGGGAGACTGACGTAATTGTGGCTTTCAGTACCTGAAGGAGTCTACAAAAAAGCTGGAGAGACTATTTCCAAGGGCCTGGAGGGACAGGACACAGGACACTCCCAGGGATGGAACAGCCACAGCTGCTCTGGACAACCTAATGTGAAGACACTATTAATATAATAACCTCAAGGCAAGTAAATGTCTGGACATGAGAAAAGGCTGAGAGAGTTGGGATTGTTCAGCTTGGAGAAGAGAAGGCTCCAGGGAGACCCAATTGTGGCTTTCCAGTGCCTCAAGGAGCTGAGAGAAAAGACAGAGAGACTATTTACAAGGGTCTGGAGGGACAGGACACAGGGAATGGTTTCCTAT